TTAAAATATACACTCAATCAATAATAATATTCTAAAAGTTATAATATTATATTTATTTGTTATAAAAAATAAAATGTAAAAGATAATAATTTTAAATTATTTTATTATAATTTATATATAATTACTTTTAAAATAATACCATAGAACGGGGACGGGACGGGCTGGGAAACCCAACTGGGACTGGGGATGGGGACTTAATTTTTAATCCCGTGGGATCGGGGCGGGACGAGGACGATTAAAAAGTCTGGGGTGGGGGTCGGGGAGGCAAAACCCGCCCCCGCTCCGCCCCGTTGCCATGCCTAACTGAGTGTTTGCTAATGTGTCTGGGCTTTGTTCAGTACTCATAGGTATCGACGTACTCACAGTTGTCGATATTACGGGCATATTCCCATTGTGAACTTGCCCCCCAGTGTTTGGTGAATGTGAACTATTTAGAATCTCACTGTTATTCTGATTATTTGGTGGATTTTTACTCATTCTTATTACTCGTCCACTCCTTAATCTCATACACTTTCGAACTAGCCAATTTTTGTGTTTTTCGACACAGCTCCCCTACCTGGCGCGTCAATTTGTTTCTGATGAAAATTTGATCGATTTCGATTTCTTAGGTTCTAATCAAATTTCGACCACGTATATTCTTTTCACTTAGACTAGCGAAAATTTTCAATCAAAACGTGTATGAGAATCGAAAATCCCATAGTATCAAGAAACGCTAACGATGCAACCTAGTATGCTGATTGACAATCGAAAATACTATTTTTGATATTTTGTATTAAGAAACTCGAAGTAAAGACAACAATAAAGAAGAAAATATCGAATCGAAGAAATAGTGTAGAATATCAAATTGCAGAAAAAATATAAAAATGCGGAAACCTCAAATTGCTTTAAATGTAAATGGCAAGGAATTGAAATTGCAGAAATGTAAATAACAGGAAATCGAAATTGCAAAAACAGTAAATGCAGGAAAATTTAAGTACAGAATCTTATATTGCATCGAGGGTAAATGACAAAATTTAAAGTACAGGAACTTAAATTGATGAATGTAAATAAGTTACCAGGGAAAGTAAAGAAAGCGGTAAAAACAATCAATGAGAATGGAAATCCAGATCGCCAGAAACTTCATGATTCGTCGTTCTCCGGTAGACTTTTCACTTGTGCTTCTGTTGTCTCTGCCAATTTCCCCTTCTTCTTCAAGCTTCGATCTATTTATAGGCATCCTTCAATGTAACCTCCCAAGAGCAGTTAAAAAACTGTCACCACGTTCCATGTGCACGTTTCTCGATTTTTACCTTAGCTTACGGTTTAGAAAACCGCGTCCATGTTTCATGTGCATTTTAACCGTTCCTCGATTTCTAACCTTAGTAGGGATGGCAAAACGGGCCAGCCAGCCCTGTTTTGGCCCGCCCCGCCTTTGGCCTGCCAAAAGCGGGGCTGAGCGCTGGCTCGATATAGTCATGACAGTCGTAGACCTTGGCCCACCCCGCCAAGGGGCAGGTTGGCGGACTAGCGGGCCGGCCCGCCATAATTTAGAAAAAATAATTTTTTTAAAATAAATTTAATAATAAAATTATTATTTGTTTGTCAATAATTCAATATATATATATATATTATTTCAATTTGATAATATAAATCAATACATTATTTTAAGAAATTATAATTTAGAACAATAATAAAATTTACATAATAATAAATAATAACAAATATATATATATATATATATATAAATAACGTTAAACTTATAAAATTTATATTTTTTATATTGAAAAATTCAAATATCTATATCTTTTTTATTTGATAAAACTTCATATTATTCTTGGTTGAGTAATTCTTACACCATTAATTCAAGTAATAAGGATAAAAATAATAAGTATTTAGGATAAACAAGGAGAACATGAGAGAATGTTATGTTTCGGGAAGGAGAATATTTTTTGTGAGAATAAAACTTTTTTAATTGTCTTTTTAAAATTTTTAACTTTATATATTATCTTTATAATTAATTTTATTACAATAAAAAAATATTTTTTTATTAATTAGGCGGGTCGCGGCTGGCCCGTCCCGTCCCGCGGGTTGGCCCGACGGGTTGGCGGGCTTGGCAGGGCGGGCCAAAGCGGGCTGATGGGCTGAAAACACCAACCCCGCCTGCCGGGCCTAGCCCGTTTTGCCATCCCTAAACCTTAGTCACGACGTGAAAAACCACTCCTCATGTTCCATATGCATGATAACCGTTTTCCTCGATCTCGATCCCAGTTATTAAGTATGATTTCCCTTAACCTTGACTTTACACTATACTTTACTATTACTTTCATCGAATTTCCTCTCTTTTTTGATTCTCGATTTCCATTCTCGATTTATGTGTTCATACTGTCTCGTGGTCACCAGATGTCTTCCAACCATCTTTCCGTTTTTCGATCCTTGTATCGATTTTTCACTAACACTACTTGAGACTTTTTCCCTCTCACACACTCTGGGTCACAATCATTCAACAAAACTCATGCTTGTGACTGTCCAATCCCTCTTGACCACTTCACTGTAGGAATGGTGATAAAACTATGTCATGCACTAGGTTTAAAAGATTTTGTTATGTTAGAAATTTACCTACAATTTATATTACGTTTCTATTAAATTTGTGGGGAGAAATGCTAATAAAGTGACATATATGTTGGTAAGAAACTCTATTTTAATAGTGAAAGTTTATATCAATTACTTCTAAATACACCTATGAAAACAGTGTTAATTTCATATTACAAGATGATCAAAATAGTAAAATTCGTATAAATATTACAAGATACTTTTAAATATGATTTTAACGTTCTTATTTTTTTTCTATTTACCTTTCAACAAATAGCTATTAAAAGAATATTAATATAAAGAATTTTATTTTTTTTTCATTTCTCTTTCTTCAAATACACAATCTTTCAATGGGGATATGAATTTGGTAAAAATAAATCTGAAATAGAATTCAATATAATATTTATATAGTATTTTTAATATATTTTTTACTCCTATATGTATAATGTTCACATTTCTCTTTGTTTAAACTCTTCTGTCATGTTATAACAAATTTCAAACTAAACACAATAACTAGAAAATAAAAATAAAAATAAAACCAGTCAAGATATATGCTAAAGATAAGTGAAAAAATAAATATTGAAAATAAATTTTGGTAATAAATTAAAATTTGTAAAAAAAATTATAATAATTATAATAAAATATGTATACTATAAAGAAATAAATATAAACTATTGATAAACAAACCTAAATTAAAAAAATATATATACAATTCACACCGTACATTGCACAAATATAAATACTACTCTCTTCATCTTATAATAGTTTTCATCCTAGGTTTGTTTTACACACCAAAAAGAAGGTTAATAAACAAATGAAAGAGAATAATTTATAAATTGACATAACTAACGTTATTAATAATAAATTGAAAATTGAAAAGCAACATATATTAAAAATATAAGTGAGAAAAATGATGATATTACATTAAAAAGCAAAAATGTTCCTTTGTGAGAAACATTCAAATTAACAATTCTCTCCCGATATTTAAAATTAGAAAAATAATATCCAAACAATCCACTTTTCTTAAACATCAATTTTATAAAAAAATAAAATTTAATTTATTATTATTATTATATTAAATAAAAAGAATTTTGACTTATTATTATTATTATACTAATAAAAAGAGTGGTTGATGGGTTATTTTTGTTATAAAGATTATCAATCTACTATTTCCTCCTAAATTAATATACTATAATTGGGTTAAAGATCATAGAAATATCAAGTTATATTAATTATTTTAAAATGCATTTTATGATATTTAAATGCAAAATACATAAGCAAATATGTGAGAGCCCAAACGAAATTAGAGTTGGGCATGACGGGCCCACGAAGAACCGTGGCCTTTCGTACATATTAATAGACGCCCTCATCGAGGCAGACCTTTCACCGCTGTCTCTCGATTCCCATCTTGGCCTTCGTCTCTTTCTGGTGAGTTCGTTCTATCCTTTCTCTGTTATTATTGTAGATCTTCAAACCCTACCTCCTCAGGCACCGCAGCTTTTTTATTCTCTTGTTAACGACAATGATTTTTCCCATTTACTGTGGTGTGCTTTGAGAAAATTCTTGTCCATTTTGTTGACTATTTTTTGTGTAAAATAATTTTTTTGGGAAAAAGACAGTAATTGGGTTCAGATTGAAATTTTAGTGGTTAAACGTTGAAACATTGTATCGGATTAAAGTATCGATGTTTATCGTGGTCAAATCTGGTGAAACACGGGTTATAGAATTTTTTTTTTTCCTATTTTGTTCGAAAGTAATTTATAATTTATATGCTAGTGTTTTATTTACGCCAGGAAATAAGGAAAGTCTGGCAAAATGTTGTTTCCGCTAAGGATCGATCTTGAGTTCTAATGGTTGATGTATTATTGCGTAGCTATAACTTTCGTGTTCTAATTGTCGACGTATTCATTTTGGAGGATTGTTTGTGTTAATTGAGATTGCAACTGTCAGAAATTATACTTTTTTTAGGTGTCTGTCTACAGGTTGGTACATCGTGATAAACAGGAGTGAAAATTTAGGATTAATACCTTAAAATTATCAGACCCTGTTTTAATGGTGTGTGCGAAAGTATTTTCGGAATGTATGAAGGGCATTGTCACATTTGTTCCCCTCCCTTTGTTTTTCCTTCATTCTCTTGTATCAAATCATACTGTCAGATTGGTTAAGTTTAATTGGCCCCTTTTGAACTGTCTCCAATTTTAATATATTTAAATATTTACATATCAATGTTTTGTAATGTGTAGAATTGAACTTAAAGACAAACACTTCCCTCGCATTGTTTTTCATTCATTCTCTTGTATCAAATCATACTATCAGATTGGTTAAGTTTAATTGGCCTCTTTTGAACTGTCTCTAATTTTAATATATTTAAATATTTACAAATCAATGTTTTGTAAATCGTAGAATTGACAAGCTTAAAGACAAACACTTAAATGGCTGGTCCTAGGATTGCCCATGCTACCTTGAAAGGTCCAAGTGTGGTAAAGGAGATAATAATTGGAATAACACTCGGCATAGCTGCTGGTAGTTTGTGGAAGATGCACCACTGGAATGAGCAGAGGAAAACAAGGACCTTCTACGATTTACTGGAAAAAGGTGAGATCGGTGTTGTTGTGGAGGAACAGTGAAAATGTTCTTTGTTGCCTATGCTCTCCATTCATAGGTCTTTTCCTCCCTGCTGTATTCAATTGGCTCTTTAAATATAAATGAGCTAACTTACTATGAGATTGAAAAGAATAAGTTTCTTGGAGTACTATGTTGGCTTGTAAAATTTCATACGGTTATGTTTTAATTTTATAAGTTTTTGTTTTTTATTTAATTTTTACTCTGCATATTTTTGGTCACTTGTTTTAAGAACTAAATCAATCCTTTTGAAAGTTGCTAGATGTAATATTTTATTATGTTAGTATATGTTTTTGGGCTGGGCTTGTGTTTTTGCTTGTTGCATTGCTCAATGGTGATAGCCTTAGCTACCCAAATCCAAAGCAGGAAGAACACCTATATTTTTAGGCTGATAGCTCAATGTTCCCTAACATCAGCCTGATAGCGTTAGCTGTTAGGGATCATTTTACATTTTCTATCTATCGAGTGATAGAAGCTACCCAAATTGCTATGGTGTTCGTCCGGCTACTTTGGGGTGAAATATTTCGATGTTCCAAGTGTAGTGATCACGGATATTACAAATATTACAAATTGCTATAATGTTTGTCAAGCTACGTTGTGGAGAACATTTCAATGCTCCAATTTTGTTGACTAGTAATATTAGTGATATATTAATTTTATTGATAACCCTTCACCAAACAGTTTAGGCTTTTCAACAGAGTTGGAAACTTCCGTGGTATTCAGTTTCCTTGATTAAGTGGTCAAGTTGGTATCATCATTCTTCTATTATATATAGTTTAATTTCAACACAACATAAAGTGGCTTTGTGCATCGTTTCACTTGGCATTTTTCATGTTTCCAATTACTATCCCTAGGGATCCTGCCTTTTTGGAAAAGCTTGTTTAAGGAATATTATAAAATCGTTAGTAAATTTTACCAAATAGTTTAAGTTTAAGAGAGTCGGTTTGCTAATGACTATTTTTTGCATGACTGTACGTTCTCTGCATTTCTGCATTTTCTCGAGGGGATAAGATCATTAGAACATAAGATTCCGTACAAATTTCTTGGCTATTTGAGCCAAAGTGATTGAGTAGTCGTTGATGTGATTTCTAAAGGTTAACCGCCACGTAGCATTTGAACTTTCAAGTCGTTCTTAAATTTCAATCACTTTTTCTTGGAATGTGTTAAGTTGTTAAAAGGTTTGTGTACACCCACGTTATTATGATCTTCGATCTCATACAATTTAACCGCCTACCAATTCATATCATAAAAAGTCCTAAATAACTTGTTTCTTACCAGATGAATCTTTGTAGTTTTGTATTATCGGCACATTATACTAATCATTATATTTCATTCTTTTTAACTTTTCTTCGACTACTTCTCATGAAAAAATTCAATGCAGCTACTCTAAGTAGCTTAACTGTTCTATTTCCATTTTTCTACAATATATGACCTTTCCATTTTTCTACAATATATGACCTTATATATATATGAGACTTTTCGCAATTTTTCTTTTTTTAAATTTTGAACTGAACACTCTACCTCTGTACAAGTTTCAAGTATTTGTTTCGTTGTTTTTAAATTCATACTTTTCGGCTCATTTTATGATTTGATTTACTTTTGATATATAGGTGTTCATATATCACTTCTGATATTTCAGAACTGGCTATTTTCATTTACTACGCCTATGGGTTATTTTTCTTGTTTTTTATTTTAACATTTAGTTGTTATAATTCTCATTAATGTCTCTAATGTTTTTCTACAAAGGATTTGTGACGAGAACTTTTCAGGAATGGTAAAATCGCGATGAATGTTCTTCAACTCATTGGGAGATCTGGGAATTTAATCTAAAAGCGGAGTGTTGATTTTTATTTTTTTTATTTTTTATAATGACTTAATTTTTTAAAGCTGGAAGTGTTATGAGTTGTTGCATTTTCTGTCTTTTTACACTAATATATAGTCTATATAGAAACATTAAACTTATTATATTTTGATCGATTTGATCGAGAAATAGATAGAAAGATGTAGAAAATGAGAAAAAGAGCATAGAAAAAAAATTAAAAATAAAGAGTAGGGTTATTTTGAAAAAGTAAAATAAAATGAAAAAAATTATAAAAGGTATAATTGACTTGATTTATTAAGATATTATTTTATTAATTTTAAGTAAATTTATTTATTATTTTAATATTTTATTTAATTATTTATTATTATAATAATTAAAAAAATAGAAATAACCAAGGATGAATCTTTCCATAATTTGATTAGGTCTCATTTTCCCTTTCTTTGCATGTTAAATTTATTTTACTTTTCTCACACATTTCTCCTTCCACTTCTTTTGTTCTTTTCTTTTATATCCAAATAGCTGGTTAAGTAATTTGAAGAGCATTAATAACACCAACGATGAAAAAGGTTATTTTTTAAATTTTTTAATTTAATATATTATTTCATTTTTTATTATATATTTAATTATTTATTTTAATATTTGTAAAAATGAAATAAGTAAAATTATAATTATAAGTAAAAATAGTTAGAACTACACTCAAAGCATGGAGAATAATTAGAACAGATCTTGACAACATGTTCATAGTGGAGGTAGTTAGAGTCTAAGAGAGACTCTTGCTATGGAGGGAAAAGATTAATCGCATAGTCCCGTAGTAAAGATGAGTGTATATTTTGTTTTGCGAGTACCTTATGAGACGGATAGTCCCCATCTTCCATGGAGGGAAAAAACTAATCGTTATGTCCCGTAGTGAAAATGAGTGTATCTTTCATTTTGCGAGTAACTTATGAGATCCTTGAAAATCTTGATGTTGACGTATTGTTCTTCTGTAGTGGAGGCAAAGACACACTGGTCCATCCTGGAGGATTGGACATAATCATTGTCTTGAGATCTTTTGGTAAAGATAAGTCGAGAAATAGATGAGATCTTTTGGTAAATATAAGTCAGGAAATAGATCTGATGGTGGATATTTATCTCTTAAAAATATTATAAGTCCTCAAAAGAGGACTATATGTTTCAGAGATTTGGGCATCTTTTGGGACATAGGAATATTCTATAAGGTTTTCTATTTTAGATGAAAGGGTTTTTGAGATATTTTTAGGAAGAGAAAGAATGGAGTTTAACAAAATAGGACCGGACTCAGTTGATGGTATTTAGTTATCCATTTCTAAAGATTTCTCTTACTCCCCTTCCGCATATATTTCCTATTATTATACCCATTTTAAAAAATTATTAGGCTCTAATACAATTTCAGACAAAGACCCCTGCTTATCCAGATGATATGAACCTCCTCTGCCACAATAGCGTCACCTTGGTTAAAAAGGTCACTCAAGTTCATATTAACTATAAGAAGAGTGTTCTGTGATAAAGTGGTTTTAGGGATCAAAAGCTTTCTGATATACAAGATCCTCATAAAAGACAAATATAAAACATATTTGCATCTAAGTAGGGAACGATAATAAGAACTATATGTTTCAGACTTTTAGAGAAGAAAATACTTAGAGAGAACATTATTAGAAAGAGAACTTGTATTGGATTGATCTTTGTCAATTCTTGTTGGTTATGAGTTACAACATTACAAGTCCTCCTATTTATAGGCAAATTTCACAAGCGGAATTCAAACTTACACTAAACTAAAAGTAACTTCAGACCCGAAATATCATACAAAGTGGAATCTAAAGATAAGGTTATGACCCACACTCATTATGGTCTTACAAAAAGACAAGACAGGATAAGATTCAATGATATATCTTACAAACAAGATAAGATGCAAAGAGATATTTTACAGATAAGATAAGATATGATAAAATACCATATCCCTTCAAATAAAGTAAAGTTGATTCGGTTTCATCTTCATTAACACATTTGCGGAGTTCGTAATGGACACGTGTAAAGATAAGGGAATCTTTAATTTAGTCATGTCATGATGACAACCATTAACTAAAGTCTTTACTTTAGTCACATCTAGTGGAGCCAGAATCATTCATCTAGTGGGTCCCAGTAAGGATATATTTCCTTGTGCGTCATCATTTCTTCCATCAATTATTCGTTGTAATCATCAGCTAAGTCTTCAACCTTTTGGAATTCTTCTTCGGGTACTCATTGATTTGAATAACCTTATCTGTTGAGATCCGTCATCTTTTGGGATGATCCTATCCAGAGGATAAAAACTAAGTGGTCTTTGGGATGAGCTGGCAATATTGGGGTTCATCGGCTTGTAATGGTAATTGTTGACTTCATAGAGGTGGTGAGCCAATTGGGTCCTGTAACTTTCATCAAGAGGATAAGTCTCAAAGTTGCCCCACGTGTAGGCTTCATTTCTTGATCATAATTGACCTGTGGGATTTAAAAAGTATGGACGGTGGATGATGAAGATCAAGGTTAGATCTTTGAGAGTCTTCAGAAACTCCCCTTTGTCTTTGACAGTCTAGAATCCTCTTGAGCTCTTGTCTCCACCAAGATAGTAGTGAGAACCACTCGAGTAGAGTCCAGAAATGAAAATCTTCCTTATAAGGATCTGTCAAAATCCTATAGGCTTGTTGTGTCTTTAATGCAATAGGGTTAAAGTATTGAACAATATCACACCATATAGTCCAGAGAGTTGGTTCACAAAGATCCCAACCCAGATCACAAAATAATTCAGAGATTCGCCCAAAGGGAATATCAAGGTTAAACACGGAGGCTGAGACAATTTTTTATTTCATGATTTCATGGAAAAAGTTAAAATAGCGAGACTTTGCATAGTGAAGGATATCTACTAGTGTGGTTGGATTTAATCCGAAAGGATAAACTTTGACAGTTTTGGCTTTGTTAGAGATAGACTTGACCATGAAAATAAGAGGAAAACTATAGGTGTCAGAAATCAATTGGACAATTTTCTTAGGCCGAGAGAGAAAATCAAGGACTATGTTTTGGTTTCCTTTGATGTGTTTAATAGTAAAATCATACCTGGAAAACCATTTCATTAGCCTAAGAATATGAGAACTAGAAAGCATCTTGTTTTTTAACTCTAAGATCTTTGAGAACTAAGAGTTGTTCATCTGTACCTCAAAATGATGTCCTCTGAGATGGAAGTCAAATTTCTTTATTCAATTATTGACGGCTAAGGCTTCCTTGAATGTAATGTGGTAATGTTTCTCGACATCCTTGAATTGTTCGCTTGCATGACCACAGTAGTATCTTTTCCCATTATCTTCTTCGATGAACATTGCTCCCCAATAGTCATCACTAGCATCTATCTGCAAGGGCTACCTTTTTCAGTTCTTTAATTGCTCTGGTCCCCATGGAGGTGGATTCTTCCTTAGTACGTTGGATAAAGGACTTGTGTATCTGGCAACTTTAGAGATGAATTCCCTAATGTAGTTAACTATCCCAAGAAACTGTTGAATTTGATTGACGGTCAGATTTTCATCTGGGAAGCTAAGGAATTTTTCAATGATGTGAGGTTGAGATTGATATGAGCCTTGACAGAAATGCATACCCAAAAAGTCAAGTTCCTTTTGGGATAAGTGGATCTTCTTCTCTAAGAGTATAATCTCATGTTGATAGGTTATTCCAAAAAATTGATCCAATAACTATTTATGAGAGTCCATATCTTGTGAGAATAGTAAGATGTCATCAATGTAAGGGATCGTTCTGTCTAATATAGACTCAAAGATTTTTCTCATGACTTTTTGGAAGAGTGATGGGGTTGTCTTAAGCCCAAAGGGCATTACTTTTTATTAGTATTGGGCATTGGGTATACAGAAAATAATCTTGTATCGGTCAGATGGGTCAATGCCTAATTGTCAAAATCTGGATTTGAGGTCAAATTTAGAAAAGATATGGACTTCTTTTATCAGAGTGGGTAAGGATGAGGCTTTAGTGATGAGGCTTATAATCGATGACTAACCTCTTTTTTCCTCTGATTTTTTTATACCTCTTTTCCACATAAAAGGCTTGATAGACTCAATTAGATTAATGGTTCGATCAGACCTTGTTTCAATAGTTCCTAGCATTCTTGTCTGACTAACTGTAGGTCTGATGGAAACATTCCTGAATGTGTAGCCTTTGTCGGATTGACGTCTTCGTTGAGCTTGAAGGATAATTGTATGAAGAACTCAAGATTCTTCCATAGAGGCTTTGGATGAGAAAAGTCTTCATGACTGTTAGTGCACAAGGTGACTAAATTTCTTTATTTCTTCCAAGTATTGAGGAGCTTCAGAGAGGGAGAAGAGTCTAGGTATGCCTGTGAAAGATTTGAATTCCCTCTTGAACTTGATTCTTGTAGGATGAATATGAAGTTGTTAGTCATAGAGAAGATATCCATACCTACCAGTATATCTTTATTGGGAAGCTTGCTCTCAATCACTTTAGACCAGACTGTAAACTCTGGGAAGAATTTGATTCCAATTGGAGTTTTGGTGATCAAATAAGTTTTGAAGATTTTTCCATTAGCTACAACGAAGTAGGAGGCTTCCTTCTTCCAAAATTCTTTGGGAAGGATGTCTGGATTCATCATAGACCTCTAGGCTCATATATCAAGATAAACTATGGCTTTGATGGTTTTCTCATATTTCTAAGGAAGAAGCTAAAGTTCCAAGCATGGTTGTGGAGGAGAGACGTCAGGGTTGGTCTCTTGGAAAGAAAATACTGGAACAATATCAGTTTCTGATTCATCTGAATATTCAGAATTTGTCTCGTTAGAGGAGATGGTGAGTGCAAAGATTATTTTTTCATCTGCAGAACTCTGTTATGAATAGAGAGACTCTATATCGTCATTATCATTAAGCTTGAGGGTGCACTACAAGAAAAAATACTATTAGCGATCGAAAAAATCGGTCGTTAATGGAAAAAAATCGGTTGTTAATTA